AATCCCCAGGGCAGTGCAATAGGCCTCTGTACCTTCTCACGCAAGGATCCTAAAACAAGCAGCTGGGACTCTGTCCATACTCCAGACTTCCTGCCTCAGAGTGCCCAGCAAGGTTTCAAAGGCCATCCTTGAGCTCTGGGGAACTGTCAGCTTGGACCACAGCAATGATTCATCAGCAGTATGAGAATCACAGACACACACAGTCACAGATCCACACCACATACCCTGGCCTTCCTAAAGCAAAGCATGTCTCAAGAGAGGTGTGGTTTTCCCCTCCAGAGCTGAGCAAGGAGGCAATTTCTATACCAGTGCCTCATTAGCCGCACCAGGCATCTGGTAGACCTCTGTACTTTGGCCACTGGCCAGTCTTTCCATGAAACAGAAGCTGTGAGAGGAAGCAGAATGTGGTTGTTAAGCATGTGGCTGAGTGCTTGCGTTTAAAACCCAGCTTCATCATTTCCTATCTGTGTGACCCCAGGCAAATGGCTTGACTTCCTTATGCCTCCATTTCCTTATATTTAAAACTGGAATCATAACAATACCTGCCTTATACAATTCAAGTTGGGAAGATTAAAACAGAAAAAGTAGGGAAAGGTCTTAGCACAGGACCTGATACATCTCTATCTACATAGCAATAAGTTTAGCTGTCACCATTGCATCTGCTGCTGTTACTGCTCTGCAGTGTGGCCACAGCCTGGATCTGGGTTGTGCTTTCTGCTGAATTACCTGCCACAGGCTTGGTGTGCGTATGCCACAATCACCCCCAATGCTGAATGGCTCCACTGCCCACCACCTACACAGGTGTGACACTCAGCTTTTCACCAAAGCAAAAGAAGCCACTCATATGTAGGTAGCAAAGTGGTGCCAGGAAATTTCATGGGGCGTGTCATTTAAGGTTTAATGAGTTATATTTTTTCTTTAAACCTACACTTTAAATGTCTGCCATAATATGCCATAATCTATTCTGGGATCTTTATTTCTTCCTGAAGAAACTTATCTAATTATAATGCAAGTCATTGAGAAAACAGAATTCACTTAGTGTCTAACATTAAATTTTGCTGGAATGATCTAATGTTTATAGCTCCAAGATACATCATGTTCTTGATGAATGAGTTAAGTAATGCTTAGACTTTTCCAGGTTCACACAGCCTTTTTAAGCAAAGAAGCTATGAGAACTTTCTTTCTCCAAATCTCATCTCTTTCTAATCTCTCATGTATTGGTATATATCAAAATAGTTATTTTTCTTCAGTGACTCTCCTCACTGAAAAGCGCATTTTATCAACATTTCTCATACCCTCTGACTCTCAGTCTCCTGAGGACAGAAATTAATACCCATTCATAAAACAAACATTATGTGCCAACTATGTGGCTGAAGTCTCCACTGAGTATTGGCAATGGTGATACAAGACCATGTCTCCATGCAAAAAAAGGTCACAGCCTATTGTGGGAGAAGAAACAGCAACATATAACTACGAGCACAACAACAGGGGCATTAGTGTGGTGCTATGGTGGAACAGGCCAAGGAGAGAGTAACTGGGTGTGCAAGGGGGTGGACGTCAGAAAAGACTTTCCATCCATGAGACCAACAGAGAAAAGGCCCTAATCTGATGTCTGAAGTACAGCAGGTGCCTGATAAATTTGCATTCCTCTGGGCCCAATGCTAACTCCTCCCCATCTTTCTCACTAGAGGGAGATGTATACAGGCAGGCAATTCTTGAGGAAGGAAGGGAGGCTTTCCCAGCAGATAGTACAAATGCTGGCTTCCAGAGAGGAACAGGATTCTGCGGCATGGACAGGTTGTCACACCAGCACCCTTAGGGTAGAGTGAGCACGCGTGCTTTACGTAACACTTGGTGACAAAAATAAAAAGACAAGAAAAAGGACTATAAAGCATTCAGATTGGAAATAAATAAATGATATTAATAGAAGACACAATTATCTATATATGTTTGAGTGCAAGGACAGAGAGGAATCAATGAAAAAGGACAGAGGGAATCTAGAAACAGACACACATATGTATGATTAACTGGTTTTCAACAGACATGCCAAGGTAATTCAAGGGAAATGGATAGTCATCAACAAATGGTTCTGGAAAAATTGAATATCCAAATGCAAAAAATGAACTTCAACTTTCACTTCTCATTATATAGAAAAAATTATTTCAAATAGGTAACAGATCCAGATGTATGTTAACCTATAAAAAAAACTAGAAGAAAACATATGGGAAAAAAAATCTTTTGTTCTCAGATTAGGGAAAGATTCCTTAGGTAAAACACCAAAAACAATTCAAAAAAGAAAAAAAAAATCGATGAATTGGCCTTCATCAAGATTAAAGACTACCACTATGTGAAAGACACTGTTAACAGAAAGAAAAGATAAGACCTACACTGGAAGAAAATATTTGCAAATGACCTATCTGATAAAGGGTTTCTATCCAGAATATGTAAAGAAGCCTTATTAACTCATTAAGAAGACAAATCACCAACTACAAAAATGACAACAGATTTGAACAGTTCCCCCAAAATGAAAGAATGCCAAATAAGCACATGAAAATGATACTTAACATCATAAGTCATTAGTAAAATGCAAATTCAAACCACAAACTAGAACTACAAATCAACCAGAATAGCTAAAATTAAAAAGACTGATGGCAGGGATATCGAGCAACTGGAACTCTTAAACACTGCTGGTGGGAAAGCAAAATAGTACAGTTGCTTTGGAAAACAATTTGACAGTTTCTTATAAAGTGAAAAATATAGTACACAAATGTCTATAATGGCTTTATTTATAATCACTAAAAACTGAAAGTAACCCAGATGTCTTTCTTTTTTTTAATTTTTTAAATTTTTTTATATGTTTTATATCATAACCCAGATGTCTTTCAGCTGCTGAGCAGATAGACTCTTACTTCAACACAGTAGAATAGTATGCAGCAACAAGAAGAACAAATAAGGCACACAACACATATGAATCTCTAATGTACTACATGAAATAAAGGTAACAGACTCAAAAGTCTATATACTATATGATTTCACTTACATGACATTAAAGGAATAGTACAGGGACAGAAAACTGAAAGGTGGTTATTAGGGGCTGAGGGCTACAGGGGAAGATTAGCTGCAAGAACCTTAACTGCCTGAGGGAACTTTTGGGGTGAAATAGTCAATTGATTGCTATGGTAGTTACTCAAAGATATGCATTTATTAAAACTCATAGAATTATACTAAAAAGTAAATTTTATGTATATAAATTAAAGTTCAATAAACCTTTTAATAAAATTATAACATATCCATATAATTTTATATTATGCAATCATTTAATAAATATGATTTCCATATATGCCAGTAATAAGATAATCTATAACATACATTGCTAGGGGTAGGTAGGAAGGTTTTAAAATAGGCCAAAATAGAGTATGCTCTCTGGAGAAGGGATCTGAATTCATACCCTTTTGTATTGTTTGGGTGTTTTTGTTATTTTTTTAAAGATTTATTTATTTATACAAGAACCGGGTACAGGCCAGATGTGCGGGAAGGTGAGAGAATCACCAAAGACAGAATGGGGAACAGAACAGGCAGAGGGACTGAAATACACTACTGAGGGGAGCAGTGGGCGAGACAGGAGAGGTTTGCTCGCCATGTGGGTATCTCCACAGCTGGCCGGGATCGAACCGGCACTGCAGAGGCTGCAGACAGCTTCACAGCACTGCGCTCAACTGCCTGCACCACCAGGGAGGCCCTGTTTTGTTTTGTTTTGAACCCAATTTGTATTACCTTCAATTAGAAAAAGTAAAGGAAACCTATGTACAGGTCAATGAAAACCCACATGTATCTGGCCCCAGGTACTGAGAGGTGCAGGCCTGAGAAAACGTGTAAGAACACTGACACTTAAGAGGCACTGAACAAATCACTGGGGAAGCAAAATATGTGGGATCAGTTCAGAACAGAGACCCTGGACAACGAGGTCTCCAGGTGAACACCAGATATTCAGTCCGCAGTTTTATACATGGAGCTTGGATTGCTCATGTTAGAAAAAGTAAAAGAAAAGGAGCATGAAAACCCAATCTCCTGGATCCACTTTTGGGCAAGCTGCTCTCAGCATTCCTTTGCAAGCACACCACGTGCCCTAACCTCAGCCTTCTAAGGGAGAAGACACGAGCCCTTCCTCCAGTGAGCAGGGCCCACCGCAAGAGACCACCCTAGGGCTCCTCTGGTGGTCCAAGTGCTCCGTCCCACCTTTTACAGGGTGGGATGCTTTTCCACCTGCCCTCACAAGTCAAGACACTCCACTAACTTAAGGAAGGAACAAAATGACCTTGACGGTCTCACTGCACAACTGTGGACAAGACAACCTCAGTCTTTTTCCACACTGAGGCTTTAGGAGAAAACCCCAGCGGAAAAGGAAGATACACAAGTAAAGCCTCTTGTTGGAATTTGGTAAAAGAAACTCTCAGGGTTTGGCACAGTCTCTTCAGTGAGCCTGTTATGGAAATCAGAACTCCAGAATGCAAAATGGACAAAGAGGGAAGGTGCTAAAACTCAGCCAGCCCCAGAAACTGCTCTTTGTTCCTGCATTATTTGGATATGCTTCCCTGAAGCCAGCTAGTTGATCCTAGCTTCCAAAAAAGCTAGGCCTGACACTATGACTAGGAGCTTCTGTGCTTTGTAGCTTTGTTGGGCTGCCTCAAGAGACCTGGTTTCCATGGGCAACCACACAGGCTCTAGGTTCTCCCTCCCACCACAGATACAAGTCATGCAGGCAGGTGCACACACCAAGAGGCAGGACACGTAAGGTGTCGCGAGGGCACAGAGTGGAGTTGGGGTAGCAACCAACTAAAAGCAAAGTCCTTCCTGTGGACCCACAGATTCGAGGGCACGTGCGGGATGTTACAACAGAATCCTGTATTCCCAGAAGCACATCAATTGCCACCAGGACATGGGTTCTGACTCCTGGGTCATGGACCAGGTGGAGTACGTGGTGGGAAGAAATGGGCACTTACCGGGGGAAGATGGCAGTCATCAAGGCTGAAGCATAGCCGGGCTTGCAAGTTCCCTCTGAAAAGTTTGCGTACTTGGTGGCTAATTCAGCAGGCCTGTGGGAAGAGAAGGAAAGTCACAGTTTGCCAGACACTGAGTAGTCAGTGCCTATTAATTCATCAAGGGCTGTCGGTGTTTAAATTTTGAATAAAACTTCATCCCTATGATCAGCACTTCAGCTCCTTTTCCGCATCAAGGCATCCAGGGGGAAAAGCAAAACAGAACAAAAACTCTAAGGGAACAGGTAAGTAAATAAACAAAGCCCCTCAATAGAATATGGTATCTGCCCAATCCAGTATGGGTGCTGCAGATTCTATGCAGTAAGCCTGATACCAAGAAAATCAGAAACACCATCCAGGCTCCCAGACTAGGAAAGTGGAGCCTGGAGACCTACAGGAGAAGATGCTCAGGCTTGAAATAAAATCATTAGTCTTCCTTGCAATGTTCCTATATACCCAGGCTTACCTGCCCTGTCTCTGCACACACACTATGACCCAGCCAGCAGAGCCACTCACAGTGCCTGGATACAGGTCACATGGATGTGGTAGGGATTACTGTAGCCATCAAGAATTTAGTTGAGGGCCTCCCTGGTGGCGCAGCGGTTGAGCGCTGGGTTGCGAAGCTGCCCGCAGCCTCTGCGGCGCTGGTTCGATCCCCGGCTGCTCCCCGGCCACCGGAGGAGGGTCCCACATGGCGCGCAGACCTCTCCTGCCGCCCGCTGCTCCCCTCAGCAGTGTACTTCGGTCCTTCTGCCTGCTCTGCTCCCCCCTGTGGCTCTGGTGAATTCTCTCACCCTCCCGAGCTTCTGACTGTACCCAGTGCTTGTATAAACGAAACAAACAAATAAGTAAATAAATAAAACATGCCTCTATAAAAAAAAAAAAAAAAAAAAGGAATTTAGTTGAGGATGCTCTCCTTAACTCTCTGCCTGGAATGTTCTTCCTTGTCCTTCTCCACCTGGCTATGCCGACTGGTCCTTCACAAATGGGCTCAGTAGTCAATCTCACTACTGAGATTGGGCAAAGTGCCCCCTCTGTGCTCCCACAGTCATGCCCTGCCACCTGCAAGACGTGCCTATCCCCATCAGCACCTGCCATACTGTGCTGAGGTTGCTGGTAGTATCTCCCCCTCTTTTTATGGAGGGAGTCTGGTTTAGAGTCTGGTTTATCCCTGCACAGGGATGGGTACATAGAAGACCCCTATAACCTCTGAAGGACCATGATGACCCTGAAAGTCTCACTGCACTTGGCCTGGAAACAGGCGAATCTCTGGAACCCACAAGTTAGAGATTACTGAATATTTTCCTAAAGACATGCATGTTCTAGCCCTGGCTTTGCTGTGTGACTGCAGTCTAGTCACCTTGCATCTTTGGGTTTCAATGTCCTTGTGTCTTTACTATGAGGCTGGAGTCACCACCTTGCCACCAAAAGCCAATGCAATCCAAGGAAAACCTCAAGGGAAGAACAGGACACGCTAACTGGCTGCCAGGAGGCCCGCATGCTGGGGCACCCAAGTGAGCCCTGGCAGTTCGCCAATTTCCAGTCCCAACCTCCTCTGCCTCCACCCTTGGGCCCAATGCCAGCACACTGATGCCCAGCTGCTCTGCTGTGCTGGGGCCTGTGGCAAGCCTTCCCTTGGGGCTGCCGTGGGCAGGGACTAGGTGAGGTGGGGGAGGGGCGGGGTAGCCATCTCTGTATGAGATAGCCGATGATGTCACTGCTAGCATGTGTCATGCGTGATTCATCCATGTGCCCCGGTGGGTCTTACATGGAGTGGCTGCTCACTGAATTTTGACAAACTCATCTGTATCCATATGCAATTTCGTCTAGAAATCTACATTTATTTTAGTCTTCTATACAATGAAATGGAAAGTCTGCTATGCAAAAGAAGATGCTGACTGACAAGTTAGACTTGGGACTTTCTTTGGTAAGCAAAAGAAAGTCAAAGATTTAACAAGAGAATTTATATAATAATATTTTCTATGTAAAGAACTACATTTTAGAAATAAAATATAAACTCCAGTGTAATTACTAAACTTACTGGGACCTTTTGTACTAGGCACAGTGATTAAAATACTATAGATTTTTTTCAATTACTTCTCTATTAATTAATCAGTCTACACATGAGGCTCAGAGAGATGAAGAGAGACTACCCAAGGGCAGACTGCCAGCACAGATACTGGACTTGAACTTGCTAACAGCGGTACAGGACACTACCCTGGTGTGGGCCCCAGTGAGAGCTGCCACAGAGCGAGCAGGGATGGCACACAGTGGTTGTGTGGCTGGAGATGGATGCAGAAAAGGGTAAGGCCACATACAGTTCTTTGAAATATGTACACAAGCAGGGAGGCATTTTGAGGCCCTTATATCCTTGTCTCTCAATCCCCACCCTCTGCTCAGCTGGCCTTGTACTGAGGGTTCCTGAGGTCTTTCTAAATCCCAGAAAGTTTCACAAAGAAGATGAAAGATGGTTGATCTTTTAACACAGTGCATTGCTGAAATACGTGTGGCAAATGTTGAGCAATATCTTTCCTCTCTCTGGTTCACACCATCAACATCTGGCAAGGTGCTTTAAGAACAAGGGCTGTGCTCTTCCCTTTTGCGGCCATTGCTGAAGCCCAGTGACCAAAATGAGGTTCAATCACTTTGGGACTTCTCACAGGAGCAAGAACTGTCAAAGGCATTTCAATGCACCCTCCCACATTTGTAGGATGCTCATGTCTTCCCCTCTTCCTAAAGAGCTGAGGCAGAAGCCCAGAGTCTGATCCATGCCCATCCAGAAGGATGAGGAAGTTCAGGCTGTTGGAGGACACTATAACGGGCAGCAAATCAACCTAGTATCCAAGTTTAGAGGAAGAAACATGTCACCTACATTGAACGAGTGCAGAGGGAGAAGGCCAGTGGCACAGGCAATCATGGGGGCGTTCACCCCCCCAGAGGTGGTCATCACTAGACTGAAACTGGACGGAGACGGCAAAAGGTTCTAAAATGCAAAGCCAGACCTCACCAAGTAGGAAAGGAAAAGCTCAAACACAAGGAAGAAACATTTGAGAAGATGCAGGAATAAAGTAGTGTTATATACAACTTTCATTACTAAAATGAAAAAAAAAAAAAAGAATAAGGACTGTGGACAGCCCAGGATCCCTGGGTTCAGGGGACATTTTGTGGAGGAGAGGCTGCCCTGATAGCTGGAGCACCTGGGAGGCCAGAACCCAGTAGGAAGGCTCTCCCCAGGCTGAACAAGGCAGGGAGACATCAAAGATGAGCAGCTCTCACTCAACACCCATCTAGACAGCAACAGTGACTTCTACAATACGCAGCTCCAGGACAGTGGGCCAGTCAAGTTATTACCAAATTAAAATGCCTTAGAAATGGCCTCCTGACTATCCCAGTGAGAGAAGAATAGGGGGAGTGTTGGGGATTCTGAGTCATACAGCAAGCTGGGACCTCTGGGGCAGTCAGCGGTCAAAATCACCAAGATTAACAGTCGCCAATTCCCTGAGGCCAGAATAGTTAGTTTCTCTAAGGCACTCACACTCCAAATGCCAGGAGGCCCCACAGATGTCTGATCAAATCATTCAGCCCTTGTTCTTCTCATACTCTGCAGATGGCCTTTCATTTGGGGAGATTTAGTATTTCAACCCGTAAGAGCCTCCATTGTCCTGCAGACGTGACCACCACGTCCCTGGGGCGAAGCGAGGAATAAACGACTGCACTCTCAAGAGGAAACCCAGATGGAAGACTGGAAGCCAAAAGGAGTCAGACTAACACCCTCCCGCTTCACCCAGAGCACTTAAGTTGAAGCAACCAGGCCCGGCGAGGGGTGGTAAATGGGAGGAGCGAGGATCTGGAAGCAGAAACTTTGACAGAGGATATCTGCCTCCTTTGTGCTCCTGCGCAAGAGATGGAAAATCTGACTCTCAGGCTCCTCTGCTGCAAATGGGAACCACCAATTCCCAGGGAGCTGGGAGGATGTGGTGGGACAGCACAGTTGGAGGGCTGGCTGTCCTCGAGAGCACCACCCACAATGGCATGAAAGACAGGGCAGCAGGGGCAGGCAGGCTTTGCCCACTTGGCTCAAGTATGGATTTGGTCGGAGTGGGGCAGGGGCAGGAGCGGTGGGGAGCTGGGGAGGGAAATCACTTAAGTATTTCCAGGGACTATGCCCTGATGGGTGTCACTGTAAAGATCAACACTTGGGTGGTGAGGTGCATCACTGCAGGAGGCTCACAGGAGCTTGGGACAGAAAATCCGCAGGAGAGAGTGATGCCTCAGTTCCCAAGGGAAGGCAGTGTCCGAGAAGGATGCGGGGACAGGCTGTGCCGAGCACTGCGGTGGCCTGGTAAGGCGAGAGGATCCAGTGACAGGGACTTCATTCCTTGACGAGAGCCATGTCACTGGAGTGTGGTGATGAGATTTTACTGGATTTAGGAAAAAAACAGAAAAACTGGTGTCATGGAATATAGACTGTTCTTAGGAGTTTTGCTATAAAGGGAGACAGGAATGGGGCAACAGTTGGAGGGAGAATGAAGGGAAAGATAACGTACTTCAGGTTGGGAAATATCTTGGCAAGTTTATAAACAGGCTGGACAAAGAAGAAGACTCAGATGCAGTGGAGATGGGGTAGTTGTACAACTGTCCTGAGTAGGCAAGGGCGGGGGGGAGGGGGAGTGGTGGTGTCCAGCATGAAAGCAGCAGGGCTCGCTTATCTGCCTGCCCAGCCTCCCCCCACCGACGACTACCTGTTCATTTCACAACATTCACTTTAGGCACCTCTTGGTTTATGGACACTTTTCACAGTTGCTTCCTCTCCTCAGTAGAACCAACCTCTGAGCTCCAGTTCACCTAGAGCTAATTTTTACCTTATTTGGGCACACTTGTTTCCATACTTTCTCTTTCTCCTCCTTCCCCTCTTCCCTCTCATTCATTCACTCACTCACTCGCCAAAATATTTAGAAGCAACAGGGTCACTCTGCTTGGAATTGTACCCTGGCTCTATCCCTGACTAGCTGTGTCACTTTGACATGTCATTTAATTGTTCTCTGCCTTAATTTCCA